TTAATTCCTAGAGGAACATAGGGCTTCAGCTGCATATCTCCATTGCCTTCTGTTTTCTGCCAACTTTTTCACCCCGCTCCAAGCCTGCCCACATGCTTTCATCTCCTCCTCACATCACCTCCTCCAAGTCACCCTTGGACGACCAACTCGCCGCCTCCCTTTCGGGTTCCACTCGAGCGATGGCTTGTCTAGTGATGTCACTTGATGGTTTCCTCAGTGTATGGCCAATCCATCTCCATTTCTTCCTGCCTATTTGTTTCACAATCGGTTCCTGGTTGGTTCGCTCACTGCCAGAGATCCCTGTTGGTGATCTTTTCTGGCCGGCCATCTGATCTTGAGTGTTGAGCGAAGACAATTGTTAATGAAGGTCTGTAGTTTGTTTGAGCTGCTCTTCATGACGCGCCAAGTCTCTGATCCGTATAGAAGCACTGACTTCACATTGGAGTTGAAAATCCGGATGTTATTTTTGATGCTGAATGCTGTTGACCTCCACACAGACTTAAGGGTAAATTAAGGGTTGATTTATAGTAACAACAAAAGTTAGAAGGATGGAATGAATGGTTGCTATGAGTCAGTATTGTTTATGAGTACAAGGTTTTCTTCGAGTATATCTTTTTTGAATACATAAAAAAAAACACAAAATACGTAGGCTACTGAAGAAGAATTAATATACATGGTTTTTATAATACTTTCAACTTATTGGTTAAGTTTGTTACTTATCTATGTAAAATGCCCCTTCATAAACTGGTCTTCCTTGTTTTAGCAAGGTTTCTTTCATAGTTATTTCTCTTCAGGTTAGCATTTATTAATGGCTGGATGCTGCGTAGATAAAAAAATGCCTGTAGTATGTCTTACCAGTTTATATGTGCTAGCCTGTGATACACATATTCGACGTATTAAGATTACCAAGTTTTAACCAAATAGATAGAGCGGGATGTAAAAGCCTCTGATTCACTGTCTAAAATTCATGTGTAAAAGTCTTACCTACAAAAAAACGTTTCAATTACACACACACACACATACATCGAATTCTTTTTCTTTTGTTAACTTTTAGACAAATATAGCACATCTGTTTGTAATACATATAACGTTACTTTTAAATAAACAGAAGGGTATTTAGCATATTTTTTTCTAAACAGATTTGTGTAGCTAATCAGCTGAGTGGTTGTTGTATGTCTATGTAAAGTTACTGATTATCAGTATGATGTCAGCGAATTTATTTGTTAACATTTTCCACCATCATTAGAGCTATCCTTTTGTTTAAGGAGTAAGGGAGTGGCGTGTAGATTTATAATAACTTATCAAGTGTTGGTTTGCAGGGATTTGATTTGTTACATATTTGATTACGAGCTGACATCAGTTAGGGGACCATTGGAAAACCTGGCAGTACTGGACAGCTGTTTCGCCTAGGTTTGGTACTGTACACAGTTGACACCCACTGGGATATATATATATATATATATATATATATATATATATATATATATATATCACGAATTGGCAGAAGTTGGAATTCATGAACCAATAGGTGGGGTCCCAGTGGCTTAATGGTCTATCAGCTCGCCTTATAACCTGCAGGTACTGGGTTTGAACTCAAGTGGGTGCGTACTATTGAAGAGTCCCAAGCCAGGACGAAACAGCTGTCCAGTAATCCCCGCTGGTTTTTCAGTATTTCTGTAATTGATGTCAGCTCATAATCAGTCAATCCTATTAATAACTGACCGTTTATAAACTTTGTTTCTGTCTTTGTGGGGATAACTCTGATTTTTGTTGTTAATTAAGATGTGGAATTCGATTTGGTTTCAGATTTGTTGATCCTCACAATTAGTACTGTGGTGACAACACAGATAACTTGACTTAAAACTTTATTTACTTCTAAAACACGATAAGAAGAAATCATAACAACAACGCAGACAAAATATTATTTAACAAAGGCGGGAAATATTAGATGGTTGAAGGCAATCCGCCACAGGAAGCCTTGCTCGACCTAGATTTCGTGCTAGTTGGCACTCACCAGTCAGCAAGGCGTATCTGCAACCAGCTTGAAGGGACTCATATCCCTTCTGAGATTCGAATCCGCGTCACCCAGTGAGCCCTGCAGTCAGAGACGTTCCCACTGAGCTATTCGAGCTCGCGATTGACCTCCTGTAGGACTGTAGTGGATATTTTGATTTGACACTAGTAGCTAGTGTGATGCGTCTAGTCCTCTGATTGGTGCAGACTGAATTCTATCAGTCAGGTTTGTAATGTGGCCATCATACGCCTTGCTGATGAGTGCCAACTAGCACGAAACCTAGGTCCAAGGCTTCCTGCCGAGTACCTCCAACCATTTAATATCATCAAATCAATGTGCACCGTGATGGCGAGCTACCTAGAATGGTGGCCACATTACAAACCTGACTGATAGAATTCAATCTGCAGCGAAGAAAGGACTAGACACATCACAGTAGTTACTAGAGTCCAATCAAAAAGGCGGGAAATGTGCAAAACAGTGCTGATGTGTATAATAGGTTTTTTAGCATCTTTATCAATTGTATGTTTACGTACAGGACAATAAACAAAAAAGTCACCAGATTATCTTGGTATAATGAATGTTTATTTAACTAGTGGTATAATGCTGAGGCGATCGATATAATAAATTCCAGCCTTCAGAAGAACTATTCCCTTCTACCTGTTCCGATCACAAGTCTCCTGGTTTATTATGGTTCTCAGTCTAGGGTTTCTGTGAGGATCACAGTTAATTATTATTATTCCATACATTCTGTTCTATGGATTAGTTTGAACAAAGAAAGGAAGAACATATCTGATATTATTTATTTAATGTAAGTGTAGAACTTAGACGCGGTGGTAGAATGTAATTTCTTACTAGATAAGTTTATTTCAAATACTACACAGTGAAGCAGTACTAATAACTGGATCGACGTTTCGAGCATAAATTATTGCTCATAATTATGAGCGATAATTTATTTGAAATAAACTTATCCGTTATGGAATTATTATTCCTTTAGGTTCCGAGTGAAACATAAGTCTTCCACAGCATGTCTGCATTTCACTTGTTTCTCTGCAGTCGTGTTTACCTGGCTGTACGACTATCTATAAGCTTTCGCCTCCTCACATGGTGTCCTGGATGTCACGTTGAAAGCCCAATTCGTCATTTCCCATTCCAGTTCCACTCGAGAATCTGTCTGGCGCGTAATATTACTTATCAGTCTCCTCAGCGTATTTTCGGAATATTTGTTGGGCAACAGGTTCTTTGTTGGTTTGTTGCACTGTCAGAGTTCCTCGTTGACTATCCTTTTCTGTGGCTATCTGTTCTGTATCTGTATAGAGCAAAGACAACTGTAGATAAAAGTCTGGAGAGTGTTTAAAATCCTGTTGGTGGCAAATGAAGTCTCTTAGCCAAATAGAAGAACTGATTTAATATTAGTGCTGAAAATCCGAGTTTTTTTTCTGTATGATCATCAAAGCGGATTTCCGGACTAATTTCAGATTCAGAATCATACTTTTTTAAAATTTTTCCTTCACGTTCCCAGTGGAACATAGGGCTTCAAGGTAGAGGTTTGAAGTTTCTCTAGCAGTGTTTATTTTTACAGGATGGGGTTGCTGGCTTCATGCCCAACTTTTCCTCTTTACCAGCATGATTTTTGGCTTAGCGAGGTAAAGGAGTGCGTCTGTGGCCGGGGATCGAACCCCGAACCGTGTGCATGGTCGGCGAGCGTCTTAACCGCTATGCCACCGACGCGCAGAATCACGCTTACTCACTAAAAATATGTTTCTAAACGACGTGTTCACACTTATTTTCAATCTCCTTAGCAAAACCTTAAGATTTGGTAGTGGAGGAGAGGGGGTAAGGTAATAGAGGTAATCGCACACCCATGTATTATAGTGTGGTGAGAGCAGGCTGCTAGCCAATCGGTAGACATTAATTTACGTCAATGTCTATGTCGCTAATATTGGCTGTGAGAAAATATGAACAAGACTGATTCAACAACCAATCACAACAGACTTAACATGGGCAAACACGATTCGCAGATATATGGCTTAACTTTCTGAGAAACCGAGCAGTACAGAATAACCTTGAGCAGGAAACAACCAATCAGAAGACTGTGTTTGTCTACTTGAATAAGCTATAATAATGTACATGAAATGTATGTAAATACGTGTTGATTTCCTTAATAAACGATCTGTTTCCGGCCCTTGTCTTCTATTGTTACAATAGAACATATTTTCTTATTTGCCAGATGGAACACTTGGTATTAGTTTGTACAGTTAGTAGAGTGGAGAACTAGGATCTTTCACAATCAACACTGTGTTTGAAATTTGATGATGAAGCAGTGGAAGTTTTCTGAAATGAAGTGATTCGAAATAATTATGTGGCATATGTTATTTTATTGTATCACGTTGAGGTGATTACTCATACATTCATGATCTGTCCCACTGTGAATTTTAGGTTCCTAATTTTTTTCAGTCTCTTTATTTTTTATACTTTTTATTGTCGTTTTTCCTATAACCCAATCTGTAGGCTTATCTTCTAGTATTGGTTTTGGAAAACAGGTTGTAAGTGTGTTTGTTACCACTGACTATGATCTCATAAAACAACTTTTTTTTAACTATTTCTAATTTAGTAAGGGCCGAACAAGAATTTTGCTTTTCTTTAACACATATGAATGTGTCACTTGTTCCGAAGTAAAGAAGTTTGTAATTCAAGAAGTGCGCTTTTACCCTTCACTCTCTTATAAAAGTTAAAACTTATTCCCTTTTTGAAACTCGTTTAAGAAAAAAAGACAAAAGTTTACTTCAGGTGAACATTTAATATGTATGTATAACAAGTCCATCTTCTGTTTGTAATATGTTCAAATATATACCTATATACATAAACATGTCCAAGTCGTTTGCTTCGTTTCACCCTATCTTTAACTTAATCCTTTTAGAGTTTTCCTTCTTTTCATTACGGTCTCTAAGCATCTTACCATTTTTTCTTTCTTTTTTTTGTCTTTCAGGGTGCACTACCATTTGATGATGATAATTTAAGAAATCTATTGGAAAAAGTCAAGAAAGGCGTATTTCATATACCAGCATTTGTTTCAGCTGATTGTCAGTCATTATTAAGAGCTATGATTGAAGTGGATACACGTAAACGTATTACAGTAAGTTTGTTGTGTGTGTATGTGTATATGTGTGTTTGTATGTTGGTGTGTGTGGGTGTGTGTGTGCGCACGTTGTTTTTCTTTTCAATAAACAAGATAGATTCTTCTTTCTTGTCACTATTCTACCTTTAACATACTTTTTCTAGTTTAAGTTTAGTTGTTGTTTTTATTTGACTTGACATTTCATAGACTTTTAACTTTTGCTCTCTTTTTCTCTCTGCCTTTCTCTTCTTTTCTTTTTCAGTCCGATATTTTAAAACATAATTATAGTTGACATTTTAATCCTTTGAATTATTTTGTTTTAATCAGTTAGAGACAAATAGTAGTAATAATAGTAATAACAATAATACAGGCGGCCTGATGTGAATCATATAACCGCGGCATCTCGTAGTCAGTTAGTTAGTTAAATAATTTAGAATTAATGGTTGTTTCACAGACGCGCATTCAAAGCTCTGCATCATAGCAATCGCAATGTCAAAATTCTTCATCTGCTTTGTGCCATCTTCATCTTTTCCTTGACGTATTGATATAAGCTCTGCATTTTTCTGTTATTACTTTATAACCCTCTGTTATAACCTACTTAGCTGGCCTGGTGATATGAAGTGTAACATCTTGAAGTAGTACTCAGAAAAGCTAGATTCTATGCAACACTGAGTTCTAGTTGCAGAGCGTATTAAAAACTAGATTTTCAAGTGTTGGTTTGTAGGGATTCGATTGGTTTGCAGGATTTCATCATGAGCTAACGTTGGTTAGAGAACCATTGGAAAACCTGGGAGTACTGGACAGCTGTTTCGTCCTAGTTTGGACTCTTCAGAAGTACTCCCCCACCGGGATTCGAACCCAGGATCCTCCGGTTACAAGGTGAGCTAGCTCGTATACCATTAAGCCACTGGGACCCGATCCAATGGCCCATGAATTCTAACTTCTGCCAATTCACAACATAGCGCGACTCCCAGCCAATGTCTTCGGGGAGTATTTGTCCTCAATATCAATGAGATGCTCACTAGCGACTCGCCCTGTTCAGGTAGGTAGTTACCTGGTGTTCCAGTGGAAAGTCGTGACCAGTAGGGTGCAGCAGGTCGGGTTTGAGGACAAATACTCGCCGAAGAAATTGGCTGGGGGTCGCGCCATGTCGTGAATTGACAGAAGTTAGAATCCACGGGGCTTTGGATCGGGTCCCGGTGGCTTAATGGTATACGAACTCACCTTGTAACCATAAGGTCCTGGGTTCGAATCCCAGTGGGTGCGTTCTGATGAAGAGTCCCAAACTAGGACGGAGGAAACAGCTGCCCAGTACCCCAGGTTTTTCAATAGTTCTCTGACTAATATCAGCTCATGATGAAATCCTGCAAAAAACCAGATTTTTCTCAATGTGGATCAATGAGAATAAAGTGTTGTCTACTTCTATAGTGCATTTATTTGTTTGATTTAATATACCATGATGCACTATCGTTTACCTATGGTATTCACGTATAAGTATACCAAAATACTCATATAACAGGTTCTCCTTACTCAAACTCACATAAATATTTTGACTTATTTCACGCAGTTCCACTGACTCCCTCACTTTCTTTGTTTTATTTTAATGGTGATAATAATATTTAGGCATAAATGTGACGTTGGCGTTACATTATTCCTGGTGTAGATTTTTAAATGTTGATATAATCATCAACATTTCAGTGGTTATTTTGCTCTACTCAGCTTAATACTCTTTAGAAAAAGCAACTCTTCTTTGTCGCTTCTCTCACCTTGGTTGTGAAAGCGTCTACGAACGAACTGAATCCAACCTGATGAACAAAGATACTTATTGTTTTCGGGGGTTCAAAATAACTTCACCTGCTTAATTCTCAAAAGAAACTACGATTTTGAGATCCAAACAGATTATTCGCATAATTAAGCTCATGATCGATCGCTTCAATAACTTCATTTTCAGATTCTATAGTAATAAATTCATGAAATCATGCCCAGCAGAACAGTCATTGTAAGGCGTAGAGTAAAGCTTTTTTAGTGATGAAACAGTCAGCACTATTGGTAAATGGAAATAAAGTTAAATGTATAGAAAATTTTAAAAAATAACACAGTCATTAGTCTAGTATTTCGATAACAGTTAACTTCAGTGCATTGCTTTTGATCAGTTTAAATATCATCTGAACGCTGAAAGAACTAAATATCCTGTCTTAAGTAAGATATACGAGTTGTTCAGAAAGGTTATAGGCTTTGACCCTTTGACTTTTAATAATTCGAGATAATTTTCAAGCAATGACTTGCTACACAGTGGAGTTTCCTAGAGTTCTAGTGAGAAGTCGTGACTGGTACGGTCCATCCAGTCTAGTGTGAGGGTGGATTTCACGCCGGTGACATTGGTTAGTGGTCGCGCTAAATCACGAATTGATAGAAGTTAGAATTCATTGATTGTCCATTGAATTGGGTCCCAGTGGCTGAATGGTAAACGACCTTGCCTTGTAACCGAAGGCCGTGGGTCTAAAACCCCAGTCGGTGCGTACCACCGATGATTCCCGAACTAGGATGAAACAGCTGTCCAGTACTCACTAGTTCTCTAACTGATATCAATTCGTGATCAACTCGTAAAAATAATAATAATAACAGCTTTATTCTGAGACGGTTGTTATATACAGTACAGGTATTGCGTGACGTTTTCTCTTCGTTCATGCTCTTCAACTAGAATAGTAACTGTCAGTGGATCGTGAGACAGTTCTATCTGACCTGAGGCGCGAACCAACCCGTTATAATAGCTCTTCTTTATTGTATCCTTCGAAAAATGCACAACATTTGGTTGAATGGCAGGTATAAAAGGGTTCAAGATTACATTTTGGAGAACCAAGGATACAACTCATAAACAATTATCTCATGTATTGGGAAACGTTGTCCCCTGGGATTATACTTTTTTTCAAGTTGAGTAGAAATTTGTGAATTATCAGGTTGTAAATATTTTATATACTCACCTAAGTGGCCATATTAAATTTAAACAAACTGAACAAGAGAAATTATATGCAATCTATTGATGAATGTTTCCGGTGGCTAAAGTTTCATGAAAATTAATTCTACAGTCTGTACTGTATCTCTGTTATTTTTCTGCACTAATCTATCTCAAAGTTATTTTAACCACCCGTAGACCTACAGATGTGATTGAGAAAAAACAGTTAGCTAAGACAGTGCGTCGGTGGCATAGCAGTTAGGACGCTCGCCGACCATGTACATGGTCCGGGGTTCGATCCCCGGCCACCGACACACTCCTTTACCTCGCTAAGCCAGAAATAATGCTGGTAAAGAGAGAAGGTGGGGCAGGAGGCTAGCAACCTCATCCTGTAAAATAAATACTGCTAGAGAAACTTCAAGCCACTAGCTTGAAGCCCTATGTTCCACTGGGGAACGTGAAGGAATCAAATAAAATAATAATAAATAAAACAGTGTATTTCTTAGCTGTTTGTTAGTTCACACCAATTCATAAAGATTATCCAGAAATCTCACCATAGAGAAATAAATAGCTTTGGAAAGAAGTTTGACGTGTGTCTTGTAACAGACAATAATAAACGAAAGTATCATTTTTGCCTCATTCAACCCCCCCCCCCAGTCACATATTAGGATATATTTTGTGGTGAATGGGTAACTGTTTTATTTATATATATTTTTCTTCGTATTCATATATACTTCTAATCCCAAAAATGTTTTTCGTTTCTTGTAATTTCTTCATAGTTAAAAGAGGTACTTGAACACAAATGGGTTATTGGGTAAGTAAATTCTATTTCACTTATTAATGTTGACAATAATTGAATAACTTTACCTTAAAACTCTGAAACAATTGATGAATGAAAATTATTCTAATATAGTTTTTGTAATAAGTTAAGTTTCTCAAAAGAAGTTGATTTGATCAATGAAATTCTTTTTGAATTATATAAAAGAAAAGGCGTTCAGTGAGAAGTTACTATTTTCGGCGATATCATTCTTAAGCTGTACAATTACATATATATATATATATATATATATATATAGTAAATTTTCTTAGTATATTGCTTGTAAATTTTTCCATGTCAAAACTAGGAAACACATACCTAAAGAAAATGACTGATAGCTTTGGGTTTTACAGGAGGTACGTGGATGATACTTTCATTATCTGCAATAATTAGGGAAATTTGGTGGAGGTCGTGGGCTTTTTCAACAGCTACCGTCCTGCAATTCACATAAAATCATCTTTTCTGGAAGTTAAATTAACAAAACTTGAACAAGATGGAACACTGAAAAGATCTGTACGTAGAAAGCCGACATGGAACGGACAACTCACTAACATTTTATATTTGGGCGCCTCTATATACAGAGCGTAACCTTATCTGTTCATTGAGCCAATGGATCCGTGGAACTTGCAGCCCTGAAACTATGGAAGAGGAGCTGAGTGTTCTAGAAAGAACTCCCCTCGAAATGGACACCTAGAATGTTTCATCACGAAATCAATGAAATCTAAACCGCCTAAACCACTCACACTTTTCGCTCCCTAAAAGCATCTCTACTTGAATCTACTATTCAACAGAGACCCATGAGCAGATGTACTGAAAAATCCTCTGTTCTGCTCACTGAAGAAAACCTTCGTGGTTAGACTTCGAATAACTTTCTTTAAGAAACAAATGATTTGAGAGAAAACCGTAAAGGATAAGCTACTACTGTTGGCTTCATCAGTTTTTATCAACTGATTCACCTGCTCGTATGGAGTTAGGTATTTCGGTTGTTCCCAGCATCTGCTACCCAAAGGTATCATCGAACACTTACCCTCATGGTCTTGTTAAGCAGAGAAACTGTCTTCCCTCAGGTCTCTGCCGTAACACCTGATCCAGTCTGGATGCCAAGCTGATCCTCAAAGGATCATCAAAGTTATGCACCGAATACATGGGAATCTGGCTAACAGAGTACGAATCAAATTTCCTCAAGCCACAAAAGCAATTGTGATTCACATTCTGGATCCTAAACTCTATAATGGACCTGATCAATCTTAACACCAAATACGTAATTTTTTTTTGTTTCTTAATTTTATTATTTTCTTCCCCCACCGCCTATGAAATCTCTACCCCTTATTTCCACTCTTGTTAGCTTGAATTTTGTTCACTTTTAATTTTAGTTGAGCTCTACTCAACCCCGTCGATAAGATTACGTCACTCAACTTACTAATTCAGTTTTATTTTACTTTCTACCCGATTAACGCCTTCTACATGACGTAATTCACTCTATCTAAAATTAACAATTCCAATGGCACATCTTTGGAAATATTCCTCTTTTGTTACTAAGAAAATTTCACTATATACATGCGATTGTACAGTTTAGGAATGATATCACCGAAAGGAGTAACTCTTCACTGAACGCCTCTTTTCCCTTGTATGAAATCCTTTTTATCACGAAGTTGTAAACGTGATGATTTATCACTCCATAGACTTAGTTAATTTTATTGTCTAATCAGCCGCGTAACACACGTTAATATTGTACGAATGAAAATGGAAACTTGTTATTTAAATAAATTCTCCCCATCAAGCATGTTTGATACCGCTCTTCGTAAATTACCCAATACGTACTAAAGTAGTAAGAAAACTAGTAAATTCTAACGACTGTTTTGTGCCAAAATGGATCCCACTACGAAAGTACTGAAAATCAAGGAGGACTTGGCAGTTGCTACAGCACTTTAGATTCACCTCCACGCTGAAAATCTATTAAATACAGTGAAATTTCGATGTAGCCAAAGTTAAACATCACAGACTACTACATACTAATAATTACGTGCCATTCACATACCGGACAATTCTAGGTTAACAATAACTCACTGACTGCTTAAGAGTTTTGAGGGAAGCTAAAACAGGTATTGCTTGCTTTCATCACTTTAAGGTTTTTCACCTGACAATAGTTTGTGTTGATATTTTTCTTAGCAAACATTTTAAAATAGCCAATTTTTTTGTTGTTATTGTTCCCTTGGGTTCCTAGTGGAACATAGGGCTTCAACTGCACGTCTCCATTTGCTTCTGTCTTCTGCTGTACTTTTCGCTTGCATCCATGTTAGTCCATACTGTTTCAACTCCTCTTCACACGATCTCCTCCATGTCACCCTTGCACTGACGTTCCACACGCCGCTTCCCTTTTGGGTTCCACTCGAGGGCTTGACGCGCGATGTCACCCAGAGGCCTCCTCAGCGAGTGTCCGATCCATCTCCACTTTCTCCTGTATATTTGTTGGGGGATTGGTTCTTGTTTTGTTTGTCCCCATAGTTCCTTGTTGGTGATTCTTTCCGGCCATCTGATCTTCAGTATAGAGCGATAGTTGACAGTTGTTGATAAAGGTGTGCAACAGGTTGTTGGAAATATTCTTTGTGACCCGCCCGCCAAGTTTCTGATCCGTATAGAAAGAAGAACTGACTGACTTTACGTTTGTATTGAAAATTCGAATTTTGTTGTTGATGCTGAGTGACGAAGATTTCCAGATTGATTTCAGGTTGATGAATGTGTTTCTCGCTTTCCCGATTCTTGATTTGACATCCTCGTTCGTTCGACTGCCTGTAGTTGAGACAATGCTCCCTAGATAAGTAGTAGGATGAAGTAACCTGTTTCAAATCTCTCCTTTTGATGGTGATTGACGCTGGATGTTGCTGTTGTTGTTGTTGTTGGTTGGTTGGTTGATTATTTTCATCACCTCCGTCTTGTCTATGTTCACTTGGAGTCCTGTCTTCGCCGGCTGCTTCTTTGACAAGTTTGTTGGTTTTCGCTTGTAAGTCTTCGATTTTGTGACAGTGACATCAAACATAAATCATCCACGCGCGAAATCCAGGTCTTCTAGGTTCTTCACGTCGGTCAGTCCAGGATATCACTGTCTTCAGAAGCTATATTAGTCAGGCACTTTACCAATTTGATTTATAGATTACAAATGACTCTTCGTGTATGCACTGTGTTACTTCTTAGTTCATAACCGAAATTCTACACGGATGAAGAGATTGATTAGACTCCATAGTCTCTTAAAGCGGAAGTGTTCACAAATGATCCTATAAGGTGCCAATAAAAGTCAATAGCTGCTTCTTTTAAAACATGTTTGATAACTGTGACTTAAGTAAATCGTAAGAATTCCCAACTGTTCTGCTAGTAGAATGATTTAAAGGATTTATAGGTAGGTGTCTAGTTCGTGTTTAGTGCCAATGATATATTCGACAATTGTACTACGTCCCTTCAAGACGTAAGCTTTATTGTTCTTGTTTAAAATACTAAATACATGTCCTTCCTTCTGATGTCTCTATATAACTTTTTGAGGATACACTTAGATTTATCCTTGAATTCACCACACATTGATAGGTTTTTGCATATACTCGCCGTTTCTTGGAAATTTTGTAAGTACAAATCAGATCTTCTTTTATTTTGTCACTTAAACTTATTCTTTTGGTAGTAGGAAATAAGTTATTTACAAATCCCTGTTTATGACTCACTGGACGGGTGCTGTTCTATTTCGGGTATATTCCACTTCATAAAGCCTTGTAGTGAAAAAATTTTCCATCTTCTTAAGGTTGTACAGTTACATCTAAAAAAATAAAACATGATTATTTACTTTTGATTGGATACTAACTAATGTCATATGTCTAATCCTTTTGTTTACTGCAGACTGAATTCTATCAGTCAAGTTTCCAATGTGCCCACCATGCTAAGTGGCTTGCCATTACGGTACACTTAGGATTGTTGTTATTACATGGTTAGAGGCAATCGGCAGGAAGTCTTCGAACTAGGTTTTGTGCTAGTTAGCACTCACCAGTCGGCAAAGTGTATCTACAATCTTGAATGAACTCGTTTATCTCATACAGTCCTACAGGGGGCCAATCACGAGTTCGGATAGCCGAGTTATAACGTCTGTGACTGCAGCACTGATTGACACGAGTTCAAATCTCAAAAGGAGCATGAGTTCCTTCAAGACTGCAGAGGCGCCCTACTGACTGGTGAGTGCCAACAAGTATGAAACCTGGGCCCAAGGTTTCCTTCCAATTGCCTCCAACCACCAGATAACAACATGATTGTTTCTATGTACATCATTGTAGAGTTCAAATAAATTCGTAACCTGCCTAGATTTTGGTGCACTCAATGAACGTGTCGTTAATGTATTGCGGATGTTTCTTCAATTTCATACTTTTATTTTGGTTTTCTTATTATTATGCATAAAACTCATCAACAGTTCATTGGTTCTTCTATTTTGCAAATATCTTCATGATTATCATCTAACCAACTAAATTGAATGAAAAGTTAGATTAAATGTAAAAATCATTAATTTACTAACTTTGACTTTCAACTTATTTGCTAGCGTAATGAATTCTGTGGGCATTTTATACCCCCCCTCCTTTTTATACTTACATTTTACATAGATTCATACCTGAGTAGTTATTTATTCAAGCATATAATAAGTAAATCGATAAGCATAGAACACTGAACCCGTTAAAGTTGTTTAGCCAAACTTTGTTATTACTTTATAAAAATGTCTTCTTTTGTTGAGAATTGTTTTCTTTAATCCTTTTTACATTGTTTCCTATAACCTCTGGTACTTATAAAAGGGGATACAAGTAAGGCAACAGCAATGATGCTTGGATCAAATAATAATAATAATGATAGTAATAATAATGTTTGTTACTAGTAAAGGAAAAAAGAAATAGGCGTGTACAATGATGAATGCTAGAAGACAAAAGAAAAAATATTACAAAACAATCAATAGCTTTTAATTTATGCCCTTAATGCTA